GAGAGGAAATGCCCGGGAAAGACGAACACACCGTGTCATGCCGCAGAGCCTGTACAAGTTGCGGAATGTAAAGAAGCAGAACATCTGGTGGATAAGATCGCAAAACTCGCACGGCATACTGCACCGTAATGGGATGTGTGGGATACTGTCGCGCTCCGAGCAACGATAATGCCATCACGGGATCGCAAGTTGCCCAAGTTAAAACATGACTTAGTGTTTTCAGGTCCTGGAAAGAAACAAATGAAGCAATTTTTGGTGCAATGAGAAAATAAATAGCGAAGCGCACGAGGGCAGCCGCTGCGATCATGCGTTTTGCGCAGTTCCGTCCAGCGGAAGATTGCTTACTAAAAATATAACTGTTTTACACTTTCGCATATGGAAAAAATTATAGATGTGTTGTCTGGCTCCTACGGTGAGGAATTTCTAACTGAAAATACTTGCCGGTACGTGAAAGCTGAATTTGAAAACACGAATGGGGAACATCTCTCCAAATTTCAACCTTGTGGTTTTTCGGCTCCTGAGCTAGCGACTTTCACATCACAATTCTCACGTGGTCTTAGACCTCTGCATAGTTGGGATCTAAATTTAAGTTTGTGAGATACCTGCAGTGGCAGTAAATATCGTCCCGAAAGTTAGTTTTCATGGTTCCCGAGATAATTTTCCGCCAAAACTTCCTCAGGGCCACACGCGACACCCAAGCGCACGGGAAAACTGAATTTAAATTTTCTGGGTTGCACGTGGTCAAGGGGCATACCCATAAAATTTCAGCTCCCTAGCCTCCACGGTTCCTAATATAATGATTTTACCCGCTAAAACTTTTACGAGGCTGGGAGTGTTACCTGCAAGCACGGGAAGGTTGAATTTAAGTTCTCTGGGTCGCACGTATTACCCGTGAGTAGAGGAAGGTTGAATTTGAGTTTTCTGGGTCGCATTTGGTCAGGGGGCATACTCATAAAATTTCAGCTTCCCAGCTTCCGTGGTTCCCGAGATAATAATTTGCCCGAAAAACTTTTACCGGGCCGGATATGCTACCCGCGGGTATGGAAAAGAGTGGATTTAAATTTGCCGCGTCACCCGCTGGCGGGAAACACTATTGTTAAAATTTTAGCCGCCTAGCTTTTGTGGTTTCCTAGTTGAAAATGCGGGACAAAATGTGGGGGGAAACACACACACACACACAGACAACCCTGTGACAATATGCGTTTTGTACTGCTGTTACACAGCACAAAAGGCACAAAAAAACAAATCGTTCAATTCACAGTAAAAGAGATCAGAAACGAGTCTCCAATTGCGCTTGCACAGAAGCGTACCAAATGGAAAACCCAGACTAGACCGCACTAGGCGGGCCGGTGCGATCATGCGTTTTTGCACTGTTTCATACTGTAGCAAGACTGCAAGGAATCACAAAAGCTAGGATTTGTGACATACTGGCCCTCGAAGTTCAGAAAGTTAATTGTACAGCCATGTGGCATGTCAGTAGTAGATGTCGACTTCAGTGACCCGACAAATGGAAAGTTGCTGGTGCGCGAAAAAAGGCCTCAATAGAAAAGCTGAATTTGAAATCTTTTGGTCGTATATAAGTAATGAACATTCCCCCAAAGTTTCAGCTTTCTAGCTTTTCTCGTCCTCGAGCAAGCAATTTTTCCGCCAAAACTTTCACGTGTCCATAAGCGAGACCACTACAGTTGATATCACGCTTCTGCAATGGCACTTGGTCTGGGAAGGCACAGTCAAAGCTTGCGTAGTTGGCAAGCAGAAATACCGGATAGACAAACAACACACACAAACACACAGGGTCGTTGCAATATGCGTTTTTGATACCTGTTGCAGTGCTCCAGTGCTGCACAGCAAAAACGCATAAAAAGAAGGAAAAATCTGCCCTCATTTCACTATTCAAATGAACAGGCGAGAAGTACTAATTAGTGGAATGCAATTCAAGGCCAATAGGTCTAATTTAGGCACTCTGTTCCTCATTAAACGATCTGAAAAGGCATTTCTAGGGCTTCGTAGAACTTTTGGAAAATCTAGCAAATTAATGAACAATTACTAGGGTAGTTGAGTATTTTTCCAGGATGACCAGTCTTTTTTTGGCAAATTATTATAGTTTAACATTTACAATGTCACATTTTATGATTAAAAAAATGCAAAATATTTTACAGTAACAAGATTAAATTGTTGAAATGATAAATGATGAAGGGAAAGCATCCACTTGACACGCAAAAATAAGCGAAGAATTTTCAACAAAATTTTCTAAGACGCCTCCATCTCAAAAAACTTCTGTTCCTGCCACCACATAAAACGATCAGAGTAAACTACACGTCGGAAAAAGGCCGAAACATGCTGGCTTAAAAACTCTAACATCTCCATCGGTATCAATCTGCAGCAGCCAAGAGCTGGTAAGAATGTCAGTGCCGTCCTCACTCTGCTTATAAGCAAGCTAATGGTTATTACCTTCGACGTGTGCCGATTCTAATTTATTAACAAAATCAGTGAAAGAATCGTAAATGGGCCTTCCTGGCGGCACAATTGAATCTCGACCTTAAAGTACTTAAAGCTGGCATTTGTGCGAAAAAATAATAACCTCCGTTTTTTCCTCAAGAATTCTTCCTTCTCCAAGCAGCAAAAGAAGAGCTTCTGGCAAATCGGTCACTAGCTCCGGTGAGCTTGCCAGCATCTCTTGAACAGCTGTTTGGCAAGCAGCGCATCCACGAAACCTACAAAAGAAAACTAGTTAAAACAAACTAAAAAAACATACTTTAACAGAAAAATCACAGTAAACACTTGCCGCTTCTTTTTTTTAGAAACATAACCTGCTGAAGCTGATACTACTATGTTCCTTGTTCTTACCTGCTCCAACACTTCTTTCCCTCCCCTCTGTTATCTTGTTCCACTCAGTTTATCTTTATTTAGAATGAACAACTGTTATTTGATATACCTAGACGGCATATATACAGCCAGATTTGGGCAAATATCCCATGCAAGTTTGACATTTTCTCGCAAAAGTCGAGCCTCCGCTCTTGTGTCCGGAAATGTTGACTTACGCCACTGCTCAATGCTCGTTTCTCCGACTTCCACATTTTCACCCAACGGATTGAGCCATGCGCTTAAGCGTTCAATTTCGTTGGCCTGAAAATGAGTGTCCACCTTCTAGATGATAAAGAAAACAACTGACTTCTTTTGTTTGTAGCTACCAACGAGAAAATTCCTACCAGAAATATCAGTATGAGATTCCGGTGACGATTGTAGAGCTTCATCTGTTGCTCCGCATACTTATTCGGATTTGAT